GTAAGGATTGGTGCCCTCCAACATGCTGTGGGTGGCGCCGTGCTGAAAGACAAGACAGCCAACAGCTGAGCCTCCCTCCATATCGCCATCAAGGTGAAGTTCACGCTGGGAAACGTTTACGAGCACGGCCTCTTCTTGAAAGTCGTTTAATTGCCTAGCCAGAATTTTCCCTTTTATACACCATCAAAAACAACCCATGAAAGGCAACATTTTCAGACCATAGACTGTGTATAAAGATGACGTGTACCCTTAAATCTAAGTAGGCTGCACCAAATTGCATACACTATTCAGTTCCCTAAATGTGCCTGATCTTTTTTAAAATCAAGATCCATGAATTTATTTTCTGGAAAATAATGTTAAAGAATCGCAATGTTAAAGAAAGCCAAAGAACTTCCTGGATTTTCATGGTGATCTGTATTTTTTTGCGTAATCCTGCTAACTAACAGATGGGTAGACAAACAATCACGGATTAAAACATAACTCCTTTTGTGGAGGTAACAAAAACTGAACCTAACAGAGAAAATTAACAATTTTTTATTTGACATGTATTTTAATTATGTAAGTATGGTGGGTTAGGGTGGCAGGGTTACCTGGCAGGAACCCCAGGAGGCGATCGAGACACTCTGGCTTCACTTTCGGGGAGCTGTCATGTCGTCCATCGTTCTATACAGTCTATGTTTCAGACACACATCCCATTGGTGTTCTGCCTGTTCAATTTCCAGATACTTCTTGTACTGGGGTTGTATATTGGTTATTTGCCGCTCGCTGCTGCTCACTTGGAAATATTTGTCTTGGCTCCGAGCTCTCTTGTTTACTGTTTGATGCTGCCGTGGAAACCCTGATGGTTTGTTTGATTTTCACCTCAGTGCGTCCCACCGTGGCCCCCCCTCTCTCCCTGCTGTGTGGCCACAGGCTCTCTCCACCTGTGAGATGGACAGATGTACTGGGACTGGGGCTGTATATTTAATGCGTCCTCTCTGTGTTCACAGCTCAGAAACCTTTTTGTTCTGCCCAGTTTTATCATATTTTGTTTGTTTGCGCCTCATTTTTCTCAATTTCCTCCACGCTGTTGACTCTGTTATGTAATTCTGGTCAACACTGGGTCAAGGAAATAGGACAGAAGTCTGACAAGTTGATAGATCGTGGTCACATTTAAGAAAAATATACTTGTATCTGAATTTTCTTCAGGGCGTTTTGGAGAATATATATATATTTAGCCTCAGCTGTGTTTGCTTTCATTCATCTTTTTGACTGAAACTCTAGTGTCAACAGAAAACTCGGAATGTAAATGTTCGAGGTCACAGAGACACATTAGTCGTGTAAGTTAGAAAAGTGAGATGATTTATCTGTTTTTGTCAGGAATGGAATCCTGCACTTAACTTTAAGCATTACACTGTGATCTTCATGCTGTCGTGTGAGTGTGTGCATGTGTGTGTGTGTTGTGTCCGTGCAATATATTGAAAGCATGTGTGTGCTCACTGAGCTGTGAGAAGATACCAGGGGGATTACACTTCCTGATGTAATCGCTACTTCCTGTTTGGCTGTTGAGGAAACGTTTGTTTCTCAGCACAGTCACTTTACATGACTCTGAAGTGTGTGTGTGTGTGTGTGTACGGGGCTCAGTTATGTGGGATATGATGACTGATTATTTGACTTGGGTTGAGTATTTGTTCTGCAAACAAGTGTGCCAGTGACTCTTGCCTCAACTCGTTTAGACTCACTGGGCTGATGGGAAATCTTTATCATATGACCAAGTGACCCATAAAGACTGTTTCCCAGTAAATGCTTTCCAGTGTCTGTTTACAACTGGTTTGGAATTTAACCAGGTAAAAAATGTGTCCTCAAATTTAGTCTTTAAACATTGATATTTTCTGTTTGATTCAATGGTAATTATAAGGATAGCAAAGACTTTGTACTGCATTCACCTGTTAATGAACACACACACACAAACACACACACACACCGCTCCTTTTGATCCATGCTGCATTAAGACATTCCTGGGCTGTGGTGAGTGGGGGCAGCGTGTATGAATCAGGTGTATTGTCGTGTTAAGGTGGTACGGTGCCGAGCCCAGGAGACCTGAGCCCACAGGGACCCTCCTCTCGGAGGCCCTCGGCAGGGTGCTGATAAAGCTGTAAGGACAGGAGGCCTCCACATGAAAAAAAATTGGTATCCATGGCGCTGAATGCATACCTGTAGTATACCTGTCCTGATCCTCGTGACCAGCTTTTTAAATGTTCCTCCCTCCGGCTACCTCTCTACATATTTTTGGCTCTACCTCCTTGTTTTTCTTTTCCATATTTTAGTCTTGTTTTGTCTTGAGGTCTGCCTGTCTGTCTCACCTCCTCACACCCTGTCTGTCACGACACGTACAATCATTCACCTGTTACTTATCCAATGTGACTTATCACCATCACTCATTGGGCACGTACCCTTTTTTTTGGGTCGATCATGCTGTCGTATTTTTCAACACAACTCCTCCTTTGTCTCCTGTGCCCTTCTTTACATCGACTTCTTCATTCATCACCACCTTCAGCTGTCGCCTCTTTGTCTTCCTCGCCTCTTAAGAAAGAATCCTTGAGGTTTATGTGGAAAAATGGGTCAGTGTCCTCTCAGGAGGGCCTTTAACACTGTTATGGTTCAGAGCACTTTATAGACCATGGCACAGAGAAGACGACTCAGTGCAAGTGCATCACAGTGGAGGCAACTAGTCTCTTCTGCTTTTGTCTTCACTTAAAAATGTCCCCTTTCCTGTCGTCTCTTTCCACTCAGATAACTCCTCATTGCCGCTGCCCCTGTCTCAGACCTCCCGACGGCTGCATCCCTCAACATTTCAGAGAATTTATGAAATTGCACAAAATATTCTTCTCAATTTCCTGCTGTGACCGGCACAGGAAAATCTAGAAATAGAATTGTCCAGCCAAAGTATGAAACATTGAGTTTAAATGGAGATTGCAGAAACGTCTTCCTGGTCTTTTAAATCAAGTTTATTTGTAAAGCCCAAAGTCACAGGGCCCTCAAAGGGATTTACATAGTGATCTTGATTCTTCATATATATCTATATCAAAGATTCTACTGCATTTTAATAAGGGACATCAGCTGCATCACAACAAGTGCTCCTTCTTTCTCCCAAAGAACCTTAAGCACTCCACACAGACCTGTGTCTCTTTACATTCGCATATCTGTGATCGTGTCTTAATGCTACATTATCTTTGCTTTTTACCACAACCAATGGCAACTTGCCCATGTGATGCAGAACAACAGGAAACCAGCAGTGACTTTGAGTGAGAGTGATCGGAGAATGAGTCAGAGGAAAAAATTAGAGAAAAGTTAGACAATTAATAATCCAGAAAAAATTATGGGAGAGAAAGAAACTTGTGATTCTCATTTTTCCAGAATTGTGCGGCCCTAACATGTAACATACCTTTTATTCTGAGTACCTTTAGTCTAATATGGAAAAAGTCACAATAAACAAGCCTCTCTTCCACCAGCGTTTATCTCATCGCCTAACCTCTTTACCTCCCTCACCCTCACCTCTGGCCTCCTCCTGCAGAACATTCTTGTTTTTTTATGCTTCTTCTCAGCCAGCCAGAGGCTACACACACACGGACACACACATTTGCACACACACACCTCACACACCCCAAACAAAGAAGCCAACGACTGCTGGGGCTGGTGATCATAACCTTTGACCCTTTGTTCAGTTCATGGTGCTTTACACAGCTGCTAGTTGAGTGACAATGGCAGTTTAACGCTCATATACACTAGTAGCCCCCCCCCCCCACGTCAGTGTCAGACCTCAGTCTGTGGTGCTGTGACTCGTTCCATCAGGTGTACGAATGTGAAGCAGACTGACAACTTAATCAGCTGGTTATTTAGGAGGCTACATGGAGGCCATGAGAAACTAAACTTGTGCAACATCATGGCTTCATGTCTTCACATCCCTGATGACTGATACAGTGTCATGCTTCAACTGAACCTGTATGTATCTGCAGTTACTTGATAAACTGGTCTAGCTCTGCTGTTTATCCTTTGATACAGTAACTTGCAATTGCTGTTGCAGTACAGCAGCGAGAAAGTGATTTCCTCTAGTTTAAAACTTATTAAGCTGTTAAAGTATCTGCACAGCTATTTCAAGGAAGTCATTCTTTTGTATTCTTAGATTTATTTATTTGTGTCCTTTTTCAGTTATGATATCAAACTTGATAGTAACAGAAGCTTTGTGGCTGATAATCTAAGCAGGCAATTGGAAAGGTATCGGAATTGGTATTGAGAAATGGTTGATGGTTCTCTACAGAAAATATTTGAAGTAGGTAATGTTTATTGACTGATACACAGTCTGTGCCACCATATTTAATTTTCAGTTACGATTCAGAAAACAATAATCTCGAAAAACAAATAGGCTGTTTTCCTCCATATTCTTTGCCAGACGTAGTCAAAAGTTAATTTTCTGGAGTGAAATCCAAGGCTTGGTATGAGCCACCCTGATCCATTACAGGAGGCAGCCGTCGCCCGGGCACATCAAAGCTGCCGACCCTCTGCCTGACACACAATGAGGCCTTATTAGAGCCATGTCTGCGAGAACAGAGGAGGAGGAGCGGGGGGGAAGGAGTCCAACGGGAAGAGAATGTGAAATATTCGTAGAATTAGATTCAGAATCCAGGGGAGCATTATAAAGGACATGCGCAGTTTTTTTGTTTTGATGTGGCATGTTACCTTTTACTTTTAGCGCTTAGCAACCTCTGACATTTTGTGCACATTATCAAATCACCCATCTTACCCTCACGTTGCTGCTGTAATTTTCTAATGGTACAGCCACATTAATCACTGTGCTTTTAACGGTGATGCCTCCAGCTACTATTTAGCAGCATGTCAGTGTGAGGATGAACTGGGACAGTTTGTTCACAAAATAAATGTGAGTGTTAATGGACTTTGCTGTCATCACAAGACTGACCCCACCGACTGCACACGTGTTTACCCATCTTCTCTCCGTTTCACAGACGAGCACGATGCAGTACAGAAGAAAACGTTCACCAAATGGATAAATGCACAGTTGTCCAAGGTAACGTAAAATAATTCTGAATTCAAGTCGAAGCCAAACGTCTACTGCATTAATCAAAAACATTAGAAGAATTGCACTTGTACATGGTTGATTCATGATACAAACCTTTTTGATAGTTGTGGCCTCATTTGTTGCTGGTCTTGTTTGTCTGTGTTATTTTTTCCGAGCTGCAGCTGCACTCTGACTCTCATCCTTTGTGTTAACCTTAAAACTCACCACTGAAACTCTCTATCTCTATCAGACGGGGAAGACGCCCATCAAAGACATGTTCTCCGACCTGAGGGACGGTAAGAAGCTGCTGGACCTGCTGGAGGGTCTCACTGGAACTGTCCTGGTGAGTCTCTTCATTGTCTGTTCATTACCGACATTGGGTGAGAGGCGGTGACACTAGACAGGTCACTAGAGCATTTTCACTTGGAGACAATTTAGGTATTTGAACTGTGGGAGGAAGCCAGAGAAAACCCACACAGATGTGTTGATAACATGCAAACTCTGATCAGTTTCAGCGGTATTAATTTATCTTACCAGTTCTTCTGTATTTCAAACAGTGGCTGAAAACTTGAATACGCTGTCTTCAAGTGGAACTTCAGCTTTTTATCCTCTGTGCTTCTAATCAAGCTGGACAACACTTTATCAGAAAAGAGCAGAATGAATACTTGTTATCCAGCCCTGTATATGTACGTGGTCTGTGACTTACCACCACATAAGTGCACACATTTTTGTTTAATTGAATATTCCTCATTTATCACAGTCACCTCTTAAACAGATAATCTGCTTTCCAGAACCCACCTGTAGCTGTACAAAGTGCCACATGTCTGTGCCATACATTCAGACACACACACACACACACACACACACACACACACACACACACACACACACACACACACACACACACNACACACACACACACACACACACACACACACACACACACACACACACACACACACACACACACACATTCTGATGCCAGAATACTAATTCTATAATTGGGTGCTAATAAGTGGTTGGGGCATGTGAAGAAAAGCATTTGCCGTTGGCATCTCTCCATCCTGCCATTCTTTCCATGAGTCGACCTGTGGACACTGCTGATAGGATAATGGCTGAATGATTGTATGGTGAGAAACACTCTGTTGAGTGATGGCACAGCTTTACTCTATCTAGCAAAGAAACCCTGTTACTCCTAATTTTGTGAATTTACAAATGTGTTGCACAGTTTACATTGAAACCAATTTTTCTGATATCAACAAAATTACCAGATGCATTTTACAAACTGTCAAAGTTTCCTTTCAGCTTCTTATTGGCTAGTGAACAGGGATCATGCTGTCAGCTGATTTCTGCTGTATTTCCTCTTCCTCAGACCAAAGAGCGAGGCTCCACCAGAGTGCACTCTCTCAACAACGTCAACAAAGTACTTCAAGTCCTGCATCAAAATAATGTGAGTATCTGTTCTGCTGCTGTTGTCATCATCAGCTCATGTTTGGTGGATGCTTTAAGCTAAATTGTGGATAATTAGACAGCCTGCAGGGGTTTTATTTTAGCTACACAGAATAGTCAGGAAGAGGGATTCTTTGGCTACCATACATTTGACATGACCAGTAATGAGGACATTGCTAAGTGGCACTGACTTCATTCATACTCGTCCCACTTCCTGTAAATAACCAGGGCTACATGTTCTCCTCTGGCTTTTTATCGGACTGTGTCAGTTTGTCTACATCGTGTTCTTTGTTTTTCAGTCTGCCTCCCGCGTCTCTCCCCCTCTCTGTGTACAATGCTCGGTCTTAATGCCTTGACCTTAGCAGTGGGAGATAAGGGGCAGGGAATGCTCGTGAGGAGTTGCAGAGGCTGGAGTTTGCATGTAACCCCTGCTGGTTTCTCCCCGTGCAAGAGCCACAAAAGTCAGCTGGCAGTAAAAGCCTGGGTTCCCATGAGCCTTAATAATGGCTTCTTGATAAATAGAAATCTTAAAACTACTTTAGTTTTCTGATTAAATGTAGAGAAACCACATTTATTACCTCTGCCCAGGAATGACTGTTTTCATCCTGTCAGTTTGTTTGTTTGTCATTTTCAGATTTCGCAAAAGCTACTAAACAGATCCCCACCAAATGTATTAGAAATATAGGACATGGGACATAACCACTTACATTTTGTGTTGAATCCAGGAATTTATCGATGTCTTTTTTAAATTATATTTCCGCCCATTTCCCAGGGAGTAATAATTCATCATTCAGGCATATTTAAGAGGCTGATAGTGAGTGTGTGAAATTTGGGGGGACTTGATTGAATATAAGTGTGTGTCCATCCTGAGAGCCATTCTACTTGAAATGTGCTTCACTTTGATGATCAAAACATTTCCGTGGTTGTTTAAACATCTGGAACTACATCTAAAGATCAGTGTTGGCCACAGACTGTGTGTTATTTACAACATTGAAAACTAAATGGGTTTGGCTTCAGTTTGAGCTCATGCAGTTAAAAATAAGTGTGTAGAGCTATAGTCGACTGCAACAATCGTCCCTGACCCAGACCCCTTTGCTTTTGTTAAATGTGTACAATGTTCAGGTTAGGGGAACTGAGTCCCTTTCTTTTGAAAGGAAACAGGAGGTGTACTGCCCTTCCCTCGATACTCTCTCTCCCCCTGGTCCCAGACTCACTGAAAACATAACATTAACAAAACTTAAAATGAAGTCAAATTTGAAAAGTTGAAATTAACTTTAATGAAAACGAAATAAAAAAGAAACTGTCAATAAGAAATTCTGTGTCTTCTTCAGACCAAGACTTAGTGGAGACGACAGATTCCTGCAGCAGCTAATGTTAAGAAGTCACTATTTAAAAATCTGTTATATTAAATAGATTCCCCAGTTTATTTGTGTAAAGCCAAAATATTTTTTATTTTTTATTTGCAATTGTTTCCTCTGTGCAGTTTGAGCAGGTTGTGGAGATCCGAGCTGAAAATGAAGTGCGGGATGATTCTTGTTGCTTCAAAAGCATGTTTTGGGAATATTGGCATTTAGAGACGCCCAGATGTAACCTTATATGCTGTGGACCGAGACCCTGAAAAAAGAGAGAGAAGTGATGGTGTGTCGGGTTTAAGCTGATTGGTAGTGGAGGCAGGTCAGAGGTCACTCCATAGCTTGACCAGACACTTGACCTCATGTTCCACTCTGTGCCTTGATCCTGTCTAAAATATTTATATGTAATCACAGCACACTTTGACCCCTCCTCATATAATTAGTGTGACAGGCCTGCAGACCCTCTTTAGAGGAAGCACTGGAGTGGTGCAGTTAATGTGCTTTAATCCCATGTTTGGTAAAAGCGCCAAGAGTGGAGCCTCATTAAGAGCTGCAGCAATTTTAATATCTCCCTGGTTGCCTCCTCCTTCAGGTGGATCTGGTGAACATAGGAGGGACGGATATTGTTGATGGGAACCACAAGCTGACCTTAGGCCTCATCTGGAGCATTATCCTTCACTGGCAGGTGAGCACACGTACGCACACACACATGCACAAACGCACGTACGCACACACACACAAACACTCACCATGTTTGCTCAGTCAACTCACCGATGTTCCAGTGGGATCAAAAACACAGATGATGGAAAATAAGTATGGTTGTGCACTCATGCGGCATTGTAAACACACTTAATCATCCAGTGCTTTGTGCAGCTGACCTGTTGAAATGTGACTGTGACCAGCTGCTCAGAGGAAAATAGATAATCTGAGACTTTGTTAAAAACATAGTCTACACTGTGTGGTTTTTCAATATTAGTCTTTCATCACTCTTTCATTACTACTGGTTTACATTAATGTCTCCCGTGTATGAACAGTGCAGAACGGGAGGATGTGGACACAATTATATCAAGATAAAGAACTTTCATATTGATAATTATCATGATAAATGTTAAATTTTTATTTCTCTAAGTTTAAAGACTGAGTTTGTCCCTGAAGGTTGTGGTTTTAAATCAATTGTGCTGCGGTCCTGTGGCATTTTATTTCAACAATATGACAAACAGTAATCAAAAACAACATAACGTGGTGTGACGGCCAACAGAAAAAAACATAGGAGCCTGAGCAGAACAAAAACAAAACCTTTGGCTGTTAAGATAATTATCACACAACTAACCTTATTTTTAACATTTTATTTATTGACCTTTGTGTTTTTCCACTGTAGGAAATACACAGCAAAAATACAAATGGTTAAAAGTAACAACAATTGAAAAATAAATTCAGTAAAATTGAAGTGGCTTCTTTCAAAACAACCTTCTCTGTTGATCTAATCTAATCCTACATCAGTGTAAACACAACAGACCCATCTTTGTCTTGTATGCATTTCCATTTTTACCATTTTTTTTCCATGGGTCCCTGCTTTAGTCCACAGCCAGCCTCTTTTAAAAAGGAGTATATTTCTACCAATATCCAGCCACTGCTCTACAGGGGGATCACATTTCAACCAGCTCTTTGTGATGGCCTCATTAAATGCAAATGTCAAAACTATTTTAGAATAATGTAATCCGGTATCAACCTTAGGTGCAATGTCCAGGGATCCTTAACCATTTAAATTTGTCCTCCTGTTCATGTAGGTAAAAGACATCATGAAGGACATCATGTCCAACCTGCAGCAGACCAACAGTGAGAAGATCCTGCTGAGTTGGGTACGCCAGTGCACCCGCTCATACCCAGAAGTCAACGTGTTGAACTTCACCACCAGCTGGGCTGACGGCTTGGCTCTCAACGGCATCCTTCACCACTTCAGGTGAGGAGAAATGTTGTCATGGCAACGACATGTTTACCGCTGTGACAAGATGAGACTGAAAGAAGATTATGTGTCTACGCTCATGTGATTGTGTGTCAGGACTCTGTTTGACCTGGAGTGTGTCGGTGTATATCACTTCCATATAATGTTGTGATTTTACTTCTGTGAAATGAAACTTCTGCTTCAGGTTGACATTACATATTTGACATCTGGCCCTTGAATGTAAATCATACTGAGCACAAGCAGGAATCCGTGTGTGTGACTGAGTGTGTGTGAGATTGTGAAGATGCCCAGGCCGTGGAAGTGGCGGAAGGTCAGGTAGACAGGTCAGCGCCTGCCGGGTCTGTGTACGCTGCTTGACTTACTCTGTTTACGCCTGCCGTGTCACTGTTTGCACACGCTCGCTGTGTGTGAAAGAAAGAGAGGGGCGAGGAGTGTTTGGGGTGTTTTCCCCCCTTTGAGTGACCCCTTGTCCTTACCAGTGACATGCGTAGACACACACACACACACACGCACAGGGCTGTGAGAAAGGCCAGTGTTGGTTTAGACCTGGGCCGGGGTTTAGGTGGATCACTGAACACACACATTCCAAACCCAAATGGCCTCAACACAAGTCCCCTGTGTACCACTCGTCTGTTTGCAGGGCATGTAGATATAAATGATATAATTGTGGTATGTACAAAATGATTTTTTACTTGTGTGTGTTCGACAGAATCTGCGGATCTGACAAATAAGATTGATATCAATTCATTCAGATGAGGGATAAGTGTTAATTTCCTTATTGACGCTTCTGATTTGTCTGCTTCACAGCTGCTGCCTCTTGGAGGAACATTCCTCTTTTACACAAAAATTAAGGGGTTTACGCACATTTAAAAAAAAAACTTTTTGCGTAACGTCACAAAAACGGAGGCGCTCTCTCACCTTGCTGTTTTGCCAAATTAGTGCGTTCATCTGAGTGTCGCGTTTCCTTCACTGCCGAAACCGATTTAAAACCTGTGTCCACTGCTGAGTCCCCTGGGAGCAAGTGGGGGTTTTTGACCTGTTGATATGATCCTTCTTTATGAATCTTCCAATGACACTGCCACCATGTTGCTGCTCTCATGCCTTCTGGTCTCTTGTGTTCTCAGGCCGAACGCCATCAGTTGGGATCAGGTGGTCAAGATGAGCCCTGTGGAAAGACTGGACCATGCCTTCACTGTAGCCAAAGACCAGCTGGCTATTGAGCGGCTGCTGGATCCTGAAGGTACAGACACGCTCATTGCATTTTGACTGCAGAAAGTTTACTACCTTTTATAGTAGTCGCAGAGAAGTAGAAATCGAACAGGGAATCGTGTTTTTTACCCTTTACTCCCTCATATTAAAACATGGTCCACGCTCACAAAGCCGTCGTTCATGTCCTGCCAGCAGTTGAATAAATTCACAGGGGAGAAAGTAGCTCGTGTTGTCTTTGGCTGAGGGTTTGTAAGAAACTGTGTTTGCTCAGAATGTTTTTCTAGTTCATGTTGCACCTGTAGTTGCTCATGTACTTAAACTTCATCAATTCAGACATTTTTTGTAATGTCATGACCCAGTGGAGGTTACACCTGACCTGTGTCACGGCCACGTTTAATCAGCACAACCTGCCTCTCTCCGTGCACTTTTCACCACATTATCTCCCGCTCAGTCGCTCCCTCCCCTTAATTTGTATCTCTGATCTTCTGCTGCCCTACATCCACCTCCCTTCCACCGTCTTTCCTCCCCCCTCTCTATCTCAGACGTGGCGGTGCAGCTTCCAGATAAGAAGTCCATCATCATGTACGTGACGTCTCTGTTCGCGGTGCTGCCCAAAGATGTGAGCATGGAGGCGATCAGGGAAGTGGAGACGCTGCCACGCAGATTCAAAGCGGAGAACGCTGGTCCGGGCCTCAGCGCTCAGGTAAAATATACAGTGTGTTACCTCATGCGATAAGATTTACGAGGGTACGAGAGTAGATTCTAATTTTAGGAGGAAGCTGGTTGCACACGTGGGAGAATCACCGCACCTCTTTCACAACCTTTAAAACTGCTCACACAGTCCACTGCTGCGTCTGCTTTTGAAAAATTCAAGGTCCAGGCCTCCTCCCTCCTCACCTATAAGTCCCTCCAGTACCTGTCTGACCTCCTCCACCCCTATACTCCAACCATAGACTGTATATAAGTCTATCATCATCACCCGTACTTACCTGAGAGAACTGTTGGACCTTGACAGAGGAAAGCCCTCTCTTCTTTGCTCTCAGCTTCCCAGCTCTGCACAGCGTCCTTGGTTATTTTGAAAGGTGCTACGTTTATCAAACTTTTGCCAAAAAAAACTGTATTTGTCATTGCGTTGACACTCACCACATGCAATATATGCAGGATTATGTGATTAACTGTGAAGAAATTATTGATTTAAGAACAAGTTTTCCTGATGAGACCTGAATATGTTTAATTATGATCCACACATGCAAACCTCTAGACTGTAGTCAGTCTGTAGACCAGTGGTTCTAAAAAGGGGTGTGATGATACTGGGATTGGAAAAGTGTGCCACAATTCGATTTTTTTTCTGCACATTTTCAGTAATGGTTGACAGAATACAATTCCATATAATGTGATAGAAAAGAAATAGATCTAGCCAAACATAGTTAAGGTTTTGATTATTTCAAGTTCAATATTTATAAGCAGCGGTATCAATCGTGTTAAACATAAAATCACCTCAGCTCATTTTAAACCAGCTGTGAAGCTGTGGTTGCAAAAAAAAACCCATAAGTGCTTCAACCTTTGTCATGTTCCTGATAACATTCAGCGTGGAGGCCACACAACACTGTAATGTGCAAGCGCAAGGAAAAAATTGCAAAGTGTCTCATTGTGAGTTGCCAGATATTATGAGTCACTCCCATTCTGAAAAAGCCATCTCCTTCCTCCTCTCCAGCGCTGCTCATGAAAAACACAGCAGGCGCAGGCAAATAGGGAGCAGAGCCGTGACTCACCACTCTGACATTAGCCAACAGAGCGAGCTGCGTGCTGCTGGAAACACAGAGCTGAAAAGGGGATGGAAGGAAATGTGGGAATGAATTGGTGAGAGAGGGAGTGTGTGCAGAGAGTGGACAAGAAAAGTTACTTGGGCATTAAACATGTCTTTGTGCGGGTGGGCGAGGAGCTTTGGTATGTGGCATGAGATTTATATGGACTTCTCTGCTGTTTCACTAACTAACGTGATCATAATCTATGCACCGTTCAGCTGTATCCTGCTCCTTTTCTTTACATCCAGTCACTGTAACCCAGAGTAGTACATTTTATTTGATCAAGTTGATGAGATATAAACATATTCAGCCCCCCCCCCAGCCCGCTGTGCTCGCTCCTTCCAATCCCATACCACCCTGGGGCAACTCTTTTTAAAAGTTTTCAGTCAGAAAATCCAGGAACCACCTTCCCAACCTTTTATTGTCCGTGGGCACATATTTCACACGCGATGGAATAAGTGCTGGAAAGTCTTTTTAAATAGCGCTCTGATTGGTCCAACGCAGGGTTTACTTTCCTGGAGCGCTTTCTCTCCTCAAAGGACGAGATGCTGAAACTGAGAGGAGGAAAAATAAAGGTTCTTTGTATTTGATGCTCATGTTTGGATCCCCTCCTAAAATTAAAGATTCATAATAGAAGCTCCATGATATATATATATATATATTTCTTCCAATGCTTCGGCATTCCTGACATTTTTGTATTTTAGGTGTCATGAAATGTTATTGCATTTCCATCTCTCAAATGGGAACATCACTGATGATTAGTGCACTGGCATATGCACGGTAGTATATGACATGCTCAGGAATCACAGCTGCAGAAGTGATGAATGCAGGGATTGAGTTTAGCAAATCATCTGGTGATAATAAAAGGTTCTGTTGAGCCCGACCACAGCTATTTTACAGCCATTCAAGTCAATAAATAGACCAAGGCTGCAGTTTTCTCTCTCTCTCTCTCTCTCTCTCTCTCTCTTTCTCTCTCTCCAATGCCTCTTTCTTTCTCCCTCCCTCTCTTGCTCTAACATGGGGGATACACTCGCAGCATTTCTGCGACTTCCTCCAAAATTTTCAAAAGGTCATCGAATATTTTCAGCAGGTGACCTTTTCTTGAGTTCGCCGCTCAGACATTACATCTTTGTAATTTCAGCCCTGTTAAACAAAGGTCCGTTTGACTTGTTACTGTACTGGTCCCTACACACCCATTAGCATTTCTGTCATCTTTGACTTGGCACGGCTGCTGCAGCACAGATTTTTATCTTCTCTTCATTTCAGCTCCAGACAGATTTGTCGAGCTCTGTCGAGCCTTGTCTTATGTTTCCGCCACCAAATGGAAACGTTGAATAGTTCAATGCTGCCGTCCACAAAGGACCTCACTCGTCCATGTGGTGTTTAACAGTATGGTATTTATGAGGTTCCTAGATATTTTTGATGCTGAATTTTATAGCGGGTAGATGCAGAGTACCTCTCCTACATTTGTACTCCACTGTCTGTTTCTGGGCATATGTATCTTGGTGATGTACATGAATTTTTTTACGCTGTCCATGGAAAACATTGGCTTGGTTCATGTTCGGGCAAGAAATAACAGAATGCCTGTTGGGTTGGGTTAGTGTTCTGTCCGGCTGGGTTGGGTTGGGACAGAAAATTGTGGCCCGAGCTCATCTCTAGTTCAGATAATTGTTGTTTTGGGAAGTTCTTGATGAAAAAAAACGACATTAACTATAGACAACTGTCTCCACACAGGCTTGTTAGCTTTCCTTGTATTCCTGATGAGATGAAGAGATAAGCACATTCTTCCCCCTTTCTCTTTAAAACAGTCATTTTCTTCTCTCTGACCATACACCCAACTCTACTTGTTGATATTACTTTGTTTTAAACTAACTGCTGTTTCTAGAATGGGGATTGACCTTCCCAGCGTGCCAGGACCACCTCCCAGCATCCCATAATAGGGCCGCAGTTGTTTTTGCTTCTTAACTGAGCAGGACAGGCCACTCCGCATGCTCCAGAGCTGCACAGGCCCCTCCTAGATGACTGCTTCTATTTTAAAACTCGTCATCTGATGTTCACGAATGAAATCCCAGTAAAATAGTCAAATGGAGGTTTCAGGAAATGTCATGTTTCATAAGAATTGTTGAGTTATTCAGACAGTTCTTTGTTTTTTTAATGTGACCGTGTGAATAAGACTTCTTGAAGCAAAAAAAACTTTTTTCAATTTAAAAACAATAGATCTGACCCTGTGTTATGTTTTTAAAATAAAATACTTGTTCCTTGCTATCTGTAAATATTTTTAAAGTGCTTATTTTTAGTACTATCTTACTCCTAATACAGTTATAATCATAAAAGTTAAAGACAATGTCAATATTCTGGCCAACCTGTTCATTCATCCCTTCATGTGTCTCAGAGTGCAAAGAGGCAGGAAGCGGGCAGCAGCCCCCGGCCCGAGACCCCCTGCACGCTGACGGAGACAGAGGGTGAGATGGAGGGCAGCCTGCCGGAGGTGGACCTGGACGGCTACCAGACCACGCTGGAAGAAGTTCTGACCTGGCTGCTGTCGGCCGAGGACGCCCTGCAGATCCAGGACGAGGTGTCGGACGACGTGGAAGATGTCAAGGAGCAGTTTCACACACACGAGGTAGGAGGAGAGGAGGTGGCTGACCTATGTCATGCAGAGGTGCAAACATGCAGGAACCTGCATACGGAGGAACAATGACTGTGCTATTTTACCTATGTACAGAATGACGAATTGTTCAATGGTTCTCAAAGGTTAATAGAAATCCACAAGTCTAAAATCTTAAAAACACGATTCTCAATAAACTCTCCTAATGAATATTTACTGTGTATGGGTTTGTAATGAGACATTATATTTAGAAGTCAAACAATGACACAGTTACACAACAAACATTATGTCTGACTAGCACACCTGGTTTTTGTCTTGAACTGTCACCCTCCCTTTGACACATGAAATATAGCATTATAGCATCCAATAGATGGAGGACTCCCAAAACCCACACTACATGCTCCGTACATGTTGGGAATGTCAGGAATTCTGCCTAGTACAGTGGCGCAGTAGCACCCCATGGTGCCCTGGCCCAGTACTCACTTGCCCGAGAAGGTGCAGTCGCATGGTCTGTGCCTGTGCATGTGTGTAAAGGGGCTTTGGCAGGATTCCCTTGGCTGAAATGTGAATATTTGTGAAGTCTAATGTCTGGAATCCAGGTCAAAGCAGAAAGCTGGTAGTGAGACGGGAGAGCAACAAGACTCAAAAGCCTCTTTAACAGCCAGGCTTTTCAAGAGGTCTGAAAAAATCAATCCCGTTTGTTTCGAGCCCGGTTGTTCGCGGACTTACTCCAGCTTCTCCAGCAAAGCCTCATTAAAAACAATGGGCTCAGAGGTGCAGTCAAAAATGCTTACTCATCCAGAGAAAAGGACAATAACTCAATTCATTGGCCTTATTTTGCTCACTACAAGAACCAGTAAATAGCAAGAAGCAGCCAAGCTCCTTCACATTTGCTCTTAATTTTATTATTTTTATTTCTTCTTGAGGCATTTTCCTCTCCTCTTCTGTTGTGCAACTGGCCCCAGTTGGCCACATGACAGCTTACCCCTCAGTGACTGCTCACAGACATCACTCACTAATACAAGGATGACCAGCACCTCTGCAGGGTGTTTTTAACCGTTACACCAAAGTTAGAGGGCAGAGAGAGAAACCTATCCAGATGTTAGTCTGCTGGTGCCAAGTGCCAACATGGAGCCCCGGATTATATAACCAATATGTGTCCGGGGAGTTGTACTGAATCTGGATAAATCTTAACTTACCCTTATATTAAAGTTTATTATCTCATCTGTTGTTTTGTTTTTGGCACACAGCTTCAGCGTCAGAGATTTGCTGTCAATATTTCTCATAACCTTTTACTCCTCCTCCACCTAAAGGCCTTCATGATGGAGCTGACGGCACACCAGAGCAGTGTGGGTAATGTGCTCCAAGCTGGTAACCAACTGATCGCCCAGGGCAATCTGAGTGAGGAGGAGGAGGATGAAATCCGGGAGCAGATGAGCCTCCTCAACTCCCGCTGGGAGAGTCTCCGAGTGGCCAGCATGGACCGGCAGGCCAGGTAGATGCACACACATACACACAGGCTACACGCACACCACTGCGTTTTCGTTTGAAAAGGAATCAACTCTGTAATGGATTCCCTGTTTCAGTCCAGATGAGCAGAAACTGAGATGTTTGGAAACTATGACGTGGAGACTCGAACTCTCTTTTCAGTCATGACGCCTTCACTGATTCATCAGGTTCCTATCACATGACCCCTGTTTGGGAGCAGCTGGCACAACACAACGTGGATACAATTACGCTCTATCACAAGCGTTGCTGTCCCAGTTGTCCTTGCTAACAGCTGTTGCGCTCCACATTTACAATGATACAACTGCTCACATCCGTAGGAGACAAGCTCTTATTTGAGCAATCTGTGGCGCAGACACATGCCCAGTGTGCACGAGGCGTCACGTGACGTGCGTTTCCAGGCGTGTTAGTATTAGGAACCTGAAAAGATTTAAATATTTTTACTGTGTATAGACAGGGCCCTCGCATCATGAGCCACTAATTCGAGTGGCAGTTCATTTCCACTGATTCACTGTGTGATCCAACATGTTTATGAGTTTTCCTGTGAACAATGTTAAAGGCTGCAAGCTGTGTGAAGGTGACACCTGATAAGCCTCCCAAGGCCTAACAAGTCCTCCGCTCAATCTGTGTTATCAAGGTTTATGATGCTTTAGACACTCACACACACATTCACACAGTTGTTCGTAAAGCGTATTTATGATCTCCTCTCGAGCGTTTGTCGACCCTGATTGGAGGTGTACGTTCCAGTTTGTGGCACGACTCATTGTCTGTGGAGTCTGTGCACAGCATTGTCACTCACTCACTCACTCTTTGTGCTGCTGTCAGGCTGTTAAATAACCAACAGGAAGTTTCACCTCAAAGTTTTTCTAGCCGATTTTTCTACCTCCACACACCCACACACCCACTCCTCTGTCTTTCTTTGTCCCAACTCTCACCTTCTCTGTCCCCAGGCTCCATGAAGTCCTGATGGATCTTCAGCAGCAGCAGTTACAGCAGCTTTCTGATTGGCTCACGCAGACTGAAGAGCGAATCAGGAAGATCGAGACAGAGGCGGCACCTAAAGATGTGGAGCTCTACAAAGAACAGATTGAGCTGCACAAAGTAAACACAGACTTCCATTGAAGCCTTTTCTGTCTGCGTCTTTCTTGGATGAATTTAGTCACTGAAGAAATAGTAATTGATTTAACATGGACAAGATCAAGTAGACGATGAAAAGTATCCTGGTTTGTTTCTCTTGTTTATCCAAATTGATGCGCTGCAGATTTTTGGATACTTTTGTGTCTTGTGATCAAGTTGCTTTTAGTTTAATGAGTCATGCTCGTGTCTCCATGGTGTCACTATAAACCTGCGCTTTACTATTTGCACTTTCTGTTCAGGAGCTTCAGAACGACCTGGAGGCCGAGCAGGTGAAGGTCAACTCCCTGACACACATGGTGGTCGTGGTGGATGAGAACAGTGGTGAGAGCGCCACTGCTGCCCTGGAGGAGCAACTACAAGTAAGTAACCGGACTGATCGCTGTTGTGAATTCGTTTGGTTCATAATTTGGGTTTAGGTTATTTGATTTGTTAAGTGCGAATGGTTGCTTGTCTTTGGCGTTCAGCCCTGTGATGGACTAGTGACCTGTCCAGGGTGTACCCCACCTTTAGTCAGCTGAGATTTGCTCCAGTCCTCCCGCTACCTTTAAAGGATAAAAACTAATTTACGCTGCCTTTACGTATGAAAAGAGATTTGTCCATTTCAAACGATTAACAGTCAAGTTTTCAGAAGATGCGCATGAGTATGGATGAAATGAAATATAGATCTGTTCCTGTATCTTATTTAAATATCTAATGTTGAGCATAAATGAGTCTGTAGTGGTATAGATATGGACTCAGTACTTTTAACACCCACACGGTAAAAAGAATATGTGGGGAGTCCATTGGAAAGTGATCACAGACTTTTGACCCTACTGTATTTGTGATTAAACAGAACTTATTTTACTCTCTATTTTATTCTTTATTTTTTATATGATCTTATATTACTTAATTCAATTGCCTGAACTTTATCTACAAAGTGGACGACTGGTACTGGCTGAAGTGACCTTTACCACACTGCTGCTTCTTATTATTCACTTTTGTCTTTATCCTTCATTCAGTCACTGGGTGAGCGCTGGGCAGCTGTGTGTCGCTGGACGGAGGAGAGGTGGCACAAGCTGCAGGACGTCTTCATGGTGTGGCAGCAGCTTCTGTCAGACCAGGTAGGACGGCCTCACTCCCCACGCACGATACATGTCTCTCTGTCCTGCTTCTAATTAAATGATGCAGTTCAACACTGGATTCACTGACATGCACAAAACCGTCAATGAAGCCTTTTATCTGTGTTGGAAATATGTCTGTGCGTACCTGACCTTTGTGACATTTAAAACTGCTCTCCCACCTCCTCTGCAGAGTTTGTTTCGAGATTGGTTGGCAGAAAAAGAGGAGGCACTGAGTGAAGTACAGACAAGCAACTTTAAGGACCCGAGTGAAATGAATAGTAATGTGCGGCGATTAGCAGTAAGTCGAGCATCTACTCTGAAATATCATGTGTTGTAACTCGACCAACAGATAATTCAATAACTGCAACAGACAAACAATAACAGTGTGTTCTGCATGTGAATTTCTTTTCAATCAATCCTCTAGATTTTGAAGGAAGACATGGAAAAGAAGAGGAGAACCCTGGACCAGCTCTCTGATGCAGGACAGGACGTGATATCGCTACTGCGGAGTCCTGAGGCAGGAGCCAAGATCGAGGCGGACACAGAGGATCTGGCTCATAGATGGGACAACCTGGTGCAGAAGCTGGAGGATTGTTCCTTCCAGGTGTGTGTGTGTGTGCGTGTGTGCGTGTGTGTGTGCGTGCGTGCGTGCGTGCGTGTGTGTGTGTGTGTGTGTGCGTGCGTGCGTGCGTGCGTGTGTGTGTGTGTGTGTGTGCGTGCGTGCGTGCGTGCGTGCGTGCGTGTGTGTATTGGGAGTTTGTGACAGACAGACTTGGGTAGATTTCGCCCTGTTCTCAATGACTCTCTTACTCACTGCTAAGGTGATGGAAGCTGTGACGGACGCTGGGATGACTCAGGTGGAAGAAGGAGAAGTCGTCATGGACACGACTGTTGTGGCTGCAGCTGCTTCCAGCGCTGACCAGGAGTTGGCGCCACCCGCTCCCCCGAAGAAACGCCTGGTGGAGACAGATGCAGAAGTCCGACGAAAGTAAGAACCAAGACATGCACCAACAAAATACCAGAAAAGTGCAAAAATAATCGACATGCAAACACTCACTTATGCACATGTTTTTTTTTCTGCAGGTTTGAAAATAAGCTTTCTGACCTCCTCAGCTGGATTAAAACGTATAAGACGTCTCTTCAGTCTCTGGCCTCCACGCACCCTGAGACTACACCTCATACACCAGACCTACAGGACAAACTGAAGGTGAAGATACTGCGTGAAAACAAAGAAATTTTACTTTTGTTGAGAGTAAATAAATTGAAAATCTTTTATTTTTTAAATCTCTTCAGGGCTTGGAGTCGGACCTCACAGGAAAGGAAGCCACAGTTAGTCAAGTGATCCAGGAGGGACGGGGCTTGATGGACCAGTTGGAGAGAGGTACGGAGGAAAGAAGAGATAAAGAAACAACCCTAAGAATTTCTCAGAGGCTTACGAGTATAAGCTTCTGAATAAATCTTCCGCTCTCTGTTCAGCTGTGTTTGTCTCTTATGATTTTACTACATTTCCACAGCTGCTGTGTTTATTTACATATGTAAAATGTTATCGGCATTCAGTTTTCGATGCTAGTAATCTCAACATGTGTTTGTGTTTGTATGTGTAGAGCAGTAAAAATGTGTCAGCCTGGAGGGTTTACTGACTTCATGTAACAGCTCAATGTTCTGCAGGCAGTGAAGTGACGGAGAAGCACCACACCTTAAACTTTCTATTATACTCAACTTCTTTTATTCTCCTCATTTAAATTGTTTTCTCGTCCGTGGTGCCAGTTTTTACATTTTTTTAATTCTACTCTCACTGGGGACTTTTTCCCTCACACAGGCTCTGACACATTCAGCATAAATGATGTAAAACTTAAATATTTGTGTATTTACACATCAGTCGGCCTCTGTATGTCTCTGCAGAGGGTGTGTGTGTGGACTCGGTGAGAGCAGATATGGGCCTGCTCCAAACTGAGTGGGACGTCTGTGCGAGGGAGCTGGGGGCAGCTTGTGAGCGAGTTCACACTCAGACCCGGGTCAGCACTTTGTCTTCAGAGCTCACAGACCTGGACCGGGTCTTGGAGGAGCAGGACCAGTGGCTGGACTCAACCTCGGCCGTAGAAAAGTGCGACGAGGCCGAGCGGAGAAACCTGAGTGCAGAATGTCAGGTGAGATCAGGGTCGGGTCAGATGACTTTGAAGGGAAGAATTTAATATAATTTACGTGGGATTTTTACAACATATGTAATCTTTACATATCTGCACTGAAAATACACCTTATACTAAAGAAATTGATGCAGTTTCACAAATATTCTTTCAACATTTTAACTTAATTTAATAAGCTAAACCATGGTTATCATTACCAGCCACACTACTGTGGCAGAGGCAAATGAGCTGGTGATCACTGAGCACTGAACTGGTGAAAATGGTGGAAACGAAACTCAAGCCAAAGCAAAAACGGGATGAAATTATCATATTTTAGGTTTTAGGTGAAAATGCAATCATGTAATCTTTGATCTAATTACAAATTTCTGTCTGAGCCGATTGTAGTTACAATTCTTTTAAACTATTACTACCGACCTTGGTTTGGAATCATTGTCTCAGTCCACATTCACCCTGATCTCCTGTGTATGACTCTAATCCTTCAACATCACCTCTGAACCCTTCGTCAATCCTCTTAGATTCAGCTCATGCATTTGCACTTATTCAGTAAGTTTATGAGGGTAAACTCAGTAAAAAGACTTGACTCAGATGCTTACTGTGAAATATACACAGAATAAGAATGATAGAGAGGGAAAACCTGTGAATTTCATGAGACTAACATATTGTTGCGGTGTGTGTGTGTGTGTGTGTGTGTGTGTGTGTGTGTGTGTGTGTGTGTGTGCGTGTGCGTGTTTTGCAGGTTTCTAGAATTTTGATACAGGAAATTAAATTCTGTTCGATCGAGCTCAGTAAAAATAAAAAAACACTTTCCATCTTTTTCTCATCATTCTGCATCGTTACAACAAAGAACTCAATAAATTGTGTACTTGCAACTGTAGCCTGAGGTGCTTAGAGCTCATATTCATCACTATTCACATTTAGCTGTCTACTTATATGGGGGAAGAACCCCCATGCTCAGTCATTTCTGTAAAATGTCCTCTTCTGTCCGAATGTGCAAGAAAACAGAAGACCATCCCTGCTGATTTATCAGTTATGACGATGACGCCTCATTACAAGCAAATCGATTAACTGTCCCTGTCCTCTTGTCGTCCTCAGTCCCGACTCGTCCAGGTCAGCGCACTGAGGCCTCGACTGGAGCAGCTTTCTGCAGAGGCAGGATCCCTGGGCGCCGGGCCCTCTCTGAAAGACAGCATGGTGGTGGTATCTGCTCATCACGCCTCTACGCTGCAGCGGCTACAGAGCAGAGAAGAAGAACTCAGCAAAGGTACTTCTGCGGAACTATATCAAAATCACGTGTCAGATCACAGCAAGGGAACCTGTTGCAGAACTCTGCACAGGTATTAACTGTCTCATATGCTTTTCATGGACCTGGCAGCCACGGGGCATCTCTGATTCCAGACAGCTGCAGGACAGAAGATTTAAACCCCCTTTAAGACAAAGATCCATCTCTCTCCTTGCTCTCGGCTCAAAGCTTTCAGGGTTTATTGGGTGACTGAGAGAGTGATGGCCGAGATCAGCAGAGCTCAGTCCCACCGTGGTTGTGTAAATTTTGACATTAGCGTCTATGCGGAACCTTGGCGAGCCATGAGTAATGGACGATGCCCTTATATGGCCTCCGAAAGTGCACAGATGTGCGAATGTGTGCCAGTGATTGTGTGTGAGATCATGTCTCTGCTGCCAGCTCCATCTCCACCTGAGGGTGTGACTTGGACCACGAGCAGCCTTAAAAATCAGTCACTGTTTTACCTCCTTGGAATTTATACGAACAGCTCTGCGCCAAAAACAGAGTCTGTAAACGAAGGCTCGAGTCCACTGAGCTTCTCCGCGCATGACCATAAGTGTGTGTGTGACGGGTGTGTGTGTGTGTGACGGGTGTGTGTGTGTGTGACCGGGTGTGTGTGTGTGTGTCTGTCGTGCTTTGCCTCTTGAGCTTTTATGACTGTGAAGATTTGGAGGAAGGCCAAGGAAAACCATTTTGTTTCTGCTTGAGGGCAGTTTGCCTCTTACCGGGGCCTCTCTCTATCTCTCACCCCCCCACCCCCCATCCCCCCTGCTCTCTCTGTTACGCTCCATCTCTGCTCTTTGTGTATATAAACACAGGCAGATTATGTAAGCATTAAATCACCTGCTAATTAAAACACTGGCAGAGAAGGAGAGGAGCAGGGAGACAACTGAAGGGAGGAGGAGGGAGACAACTGAAGAGAGGAGGAGGGAGTCAACTGAAGAGAAGAGGAGTGAGACAACTGAAGAGAGTGTGGTGGCAATTTCTGTGAAACAAGCACAAAGTCAAACACTTCTTCTTCAGAGGAGGAGGGACGGATGTAAATGTTATAGTTTAAATGAGGTTGAAGTTGAAGCAGTTGGGTCCAGCCGTGTTTTTAATAATGTTTTCAAAATGTGTCTGGCATGACTGACAGGTTTGACTGGTTAAGAGAGCGCAGCTAAATTTACTTTAAGGCAACACTGCCTGCAGCACAGAACACACACACACATGCACACAGAGATGGAGAAATCCCAAATCAGCTCACTGCCCCCTTCTGGTAGAAAACACGATGCTCCAGACTTAAAGCAAAAGTCTGGACACTTGAATTTAAAGGTGCAGTGTGTAGAAGTTTGTGATATCTAGTGTTGAAATTGCATGTTGCAGCTGAACACCCCTCACCTCACCTTCCAAACATGACATGGCGGCCTCCGTAGAGAGGGTCCCCTCGATGTAAATGCAAAGTATTTGAATATAAAGGGGTAAAGAAAACTACAATTCATAGAATTTAGATGAAACGAACTAGTGAAAACATCATGAGGATTATTCTACATTCAATTTCTGCCAATAGTTCACTTTCACCTCAATCTTACACACTGGACCTTTAATAAGTAATAATACTAAACTTTATTTATGTAGCATTTAAAAAAAAATTTGGTTTGAAAAGTGCTTCACGGACATAAAACAGAAAACACAAGCTGTGAAATTTAAAATGCATTAGACAATGAATATATTAGTATCACAAGCATATCAAGTGAAAAGCCATTTTATAAAAATGCATCTTTAAAAGAGGATCTTGAGGCAGCTTGTCTGAGGGACAAACGGAGGTTCAGGTTCCTGTGTCTCAAGTCTCTCCCTGGGTGCCCAGGGCAACAGCTGGTTAGCAGAACTAAGTTTGCGTGCAGGGTTATAAGGGATGAGAGCGTCTGCTAAGTAAAGTTAGTGATTTAAAAACAAGCACAGAGGTGAGAATGGGTGTATTGTGATCATATGTTCAACTTCTTGCAAGAAACTTAATATTTAACTCAATTTTCCCTTTCCTCGTCTTATTCCAGCCTTGGCCCCTCCGCAGGCTGAAGAGATGGCACCGTGTCCGGTGGAGGCTCTGGAGGCCAGACTGGCCACTCTGAGAGAAGGAATATCAGACATCCCCACCACTGAGGCGGCAGTGGAGCGGGCACAGGTGAGACGTCTCAAACATTAACTCTGAGGTGGAGGTTGTTTTTACAAAATATGATCTGAAAGTCTCATTAATTATTGTTTGAAGATTGTAGAATTATCCTGTTTAATTTATGGTTATAGCTTGTATAGTCTTTTCTATTATTCTTATTTTTCACTTTTTTTTCAAAATATAATTTGGCAAATATATAAGATCTCACCTAATTATATTTKTATTTTTTTTTTTTTTTTACACATTGTTGTTTCATGCTGATCTCGTCACATATTTGTTGTTGCTCTGCAATTTATTGTGACTGCCTGTATTAGTTCATCAAAGATATTTAATCTGATTCAAGACATTCCTGGTTAGACAGAGAAAAGCAAATAACAACATCAAGTGAAGAATTGCAAGAAAAAGTAAGGCCTTGATGAATTGATTAGGAATTGATAGATTGAGAATGTAGTTGATAGCACACGACCTCTGGCCTCTAAACTGACGGGATTTCATTCTCAACAGTGACTTTGTTTGTGTCTGTGTTCGTGTGTATATCACTGTGTTTTTGTTTCTGGCACACAATAGGCCCTTTATCAGTCACTCACTTCCCTCTGTGCTGTTTCAACCCTCTCTGTAGAAGGATGGTGTGTGTGGTATGTAGTTTGGAAGTGTGTGTGTGTGTGTGTTTGGTTGTGTGTGTGTTTCTCTCCTCCTCTATCTCCGGTGGAATGTGAGCTCAGAGCAGGCTCCAGTTATCATGGCAGATAACAGGGCATGGTGTCGGTGAGGGGTGGGGTGGGGGGGTGGTCTTGGCACATTCTGGGCAGCGAGCCCATGCATGTAGCACGGAGCTCCTCACAGCCCAGTGTGGAGCTGCACAACCAGTCAGTCAGCCTGACAACCACAACATTCAGTCCCACGACAGCAGACCTGCGCCCTGTTAGCAGCGAGCCTAATTATAGAGCGTGATAACCATTGCGTGCTTGTTTTACGATAAACAAATGTAAATTGTTTTTAACATGGAAACAGGATTAACGTTTTTTTTTCTCAATAAAAAAAAAAAGGTGTCTCAACCTGTTTTATAAAGGAAGGAAAAACTTTCAATGTGTTCCAGTGACATCTAGCGATGAGGGTGCAGATTGCAACCAACTGAAATACTGAGCCTGTGATTGATTTTGTCTATTCTGGGCCACTGTAGAAACATGGTGGTTCAATTATTTTCCATAAAACTGCTCAAAGAACCTTTTCAAAGAAAACTAAAACACTTTTCTTTAGTAGCAGGATTTAAGTGTTCATACTTCTCGAACTCACACACACACAGTTTAGACATGTCATATTAAACCTGACCTCTTGTTCACCTCAGGCCCTGTGTATAGAGATTGAGCAAACACAACAAGCCTCGGATCCGGCAGAACTACAAAGGTGGAGTCAACTTTCCTCCAAGGCCCGTGAGGAGCTGGGGACTCTGCAGTGCATCCTGGGTAGCATGAAGGACAACCAGGTACAGAAAGCTGTCATTTGTTCCAAAGAAAACTTTCTTTACTGGTAGTGATATGAATGGTAATAATATCGTTGTTCAATGCCGTTGTCAGGTGTGTGTGGTGCAAGTTGAGCGTTGGTTGGATGCGGTTGAGGAGCTGTTGTCTCGTGATGCCGCCGGGTCGAGCCACACAGACAGAATACGTGAAGAGCTTAGCCAGTGCAAGGTGAGAGGACATAACAAAAAATAAAGCATCGAATTCTGTGTTTGTCTAACAGGTTTGGGCATTTAATAACATGACTTAACTACTAAAGAGGGAATTTAACTTTGTTCAAAACTGTAATCTTATGTTGATAAATATTATGGATTCTTTGCTAAGTTGATTATGATCAAAAAAGTTTTTAATATCTGAACCGCTGATTTCTTTTCTTTCTCATAATCAGGAGTATGTGAGTGAGATGGAGTCAGTGGAAGGTTCGTTGAAGCAGATGGGAGAGAATGTGAGTGCCGTGCAGGCCACTGCAGACCCGGGACTGGCCACGTGGGGGCAGGAGAAGTTGGATGAGTCCCGGGGCAGGTGGGACACGCTCAGCAAAAAGGTGAGGCAGAGTTAAATAAGTTCAAGAAAATGATGGTATATAATCCATTTAGTGTCAGCTCTAGATCGACTTACTTAGATTATTCGGATGTTTCTTTTACAAGCCTGACAACATGTGCTTCTCTGCAGCTGCTGAGCCACCAGGAGCGTGCGGCAGAGCGTCAGGAGAAGCAGGTGAATCTGAGGAAGGACTTGGCGGAGATGCAGGAGTGGATGACCCAAGTAGACGAGGAGTTTCTCATGAGGGACTTTGAGTACAAGAGTCCGGAGGAGCTGGAGGCATCGCTGGAGGAGATGAAGGTGCGTGTTCAACCTTGGTTTATCTGTGCATGCATGCAACTCTTGTTTCTCTGTTGGTGCTGTTGACGTCCTCTCACCTGTCCCTATCTTCCGCAGAGAGCTAAAGAGGATGTGCTGCAGAAGGAGGTGAAGGTTAAGATCCTTAAAGACAGCATCAACATGTTGGTGTCCAGAACATCGCCCCCTGGAGGAGGCAGCGGACAGGAGCTGACAACAGAGCTGGAGGGGGTACTGGCCAACTACCACAAGCTATGCGACCGCCTCAAGAGCAAGTGCCACACTCTGGAGGTAATGTGCTTGTGGGGTCCCTCTGTTTTGGACGAGGTTAAAAGATGATTTTTATTCTTTGTGTTTGTTTGTTCTGGTTGTGTGAGTAATTTACTGTGTCAGCTTCCTTTTTAAAAATGATCTTCGGCCTCATCATTGTTTCAAAAATCTGCAGCGACACATATTTACATAAAAATATGAATTTTATAAGGAATGACCCAGATTGTCCGTTACCTAGCAGCTCTCCCAGCAGAGTGACATGTGGCTTGATGCGATGTGTCCTTTTTGTTAATTTCCATGCTCGGAACAAGAGGAGCTGGAAGGAAACACTGGCGATTCTTGTTTTCTTTGCTAATCTGTGAGTGTAAAATCATAGTCTGGGGCTTCGTTTTTGACGCTCATCCCTCCAGACTCCGCTGGGTAAAGATCAGACACGTCACCGAGCTGTGCTTATGCTTGTGTACATTCTTTGCCTGAAGCCCATTCGTCACCATCATCGTATTTGTCCTTTGAGTTCTGCTGCTTAATTTGAGACTTTAAAGACTTTAAATATTGTTGTTTTTCATCTGGTCCTTTTTTAAAATTGAAAGTGAGGGAATATTCAATAGAGCTGTCGCTTTTTAGTAACATCATCTTTGTTTCTGTCTGTCTTTGTGTGTGTGTGTGTGTGTGTAGGAGGTGTGGTCCTGTTGGATGGAGCTGCTTCAGTACCTGGACATGGAGCAGAATTGGCTCAGCACTGTGGAGGAGAAGGTTCAAGCCACCGACAACCTTCCGGAGAGTACTGAGGCCGTCAGTGAGGCTCTGGAGGTACAGACACACACACACACACACACACACAATACATATTTCTGTACCTGCTGTCTTGTCGGTAAATAACAGCCAGAATAGTAGGGAGCTGGGATGAAATGTCACATCAACATTAAACACACATTAGTTTGGGAATTGTTTCTCAAACTAAATGCTCTATTTAAAAAGTTGTTGATATGTTCACCACCTCCTCGTCTTTGACTTCTAAATTTCTTCCGCCTTCTTCTGCTCTGCTGCTATATCTGCAGATCGCCTGCAGCACCACTGTCAAATCCGCTTTAATCTCAGCGCTTCCTCTGTAACGTTGCATAATGTTGAAGACAATTGAAGACCCTTGAAGACGACGCTTCCCCTTCTCTGCTTTGTCCTTATGTTTTTGGCTATTTTCTGCCCCCCCCACCCAGTATCTCTCTCTATATTCTCTCACCCTTTACCCTTCCCACTCGCCCAGTTTCCTAATTGGGCTCACCCCTCTGGAGGAGGGGAGGGGGTGCTGTCGCTCTCTCCCTCTCTCTGTCCATCACCCCAGGGAAGGAAAAGCAAATTTAATGACCCCACATAAACAATGACTGTTGGATCCGAACATGTGTCGTCACTTGACAAGCCTCCCTCTCTCTCTCTCCCTCTCTCTCTCTCTCTCACTTGTCTCTCATTTGTCGTTCTCCATCTTTTTTTGGGTTTGCCTTCATCTGACACACCCAGCATCTGCATCTGTGCGACATATGTTTTCTCAGCTTTTCGGTTCTTTCCTAATCTTTCATGCACACAGACCCACACTGAGCTTTTCACTAATTTACAGGATTTCTCTCTAGTGTTTTCCTCCAATGTTTTCCTCAATTTTTTTGAAACTGAAGCCGCTCAGCTTTCTCGATGTTTGTTGTGGTTTTACCAAACGGCTCCTTTCTTTCCCTTTTCGTCTGATTCTTTGCTTACAAACTTACCCTCTCCTTCATCTCTCCCTTTCACCGCCAGTCGTTGGAGAGCGTGCTTCGCCACCCCGGGGACAACCGCACGCAAATCAGAGAGCTGGGTCAGACGCTGATTGACGGCGGCATTTTGGACGAGCTCATTAGCGAAAAGCTAGAGACCTTCAATTCTCGTTACGACCAACTCAACAACCAGGTTAGGACCTTGTATTTGTTTGTCCGCAGATGAAAATGTAGAGATATGAATAATTTAAGCAGATATACATTTTCTTTAACTGTTTCAGTTTGTATTTGTATACATCATTTACCAAAATACCACTGCGTCATGTTTCTCAAAGCCATTCATGGGCTGTATTTGACTGTAGCATCTAGCATGAATTTTTGTATGTATGATTTTACCAAACCCTGCACCTTTGTATCTTTCTTTCTGTTAACAGTCGTAAAAAACATCCTTTATTCATTTCTGTATATTGCACACTTAAGAGTTTACTTCACATTAAGTTTGTCCAAGCTTCTATAAGCAGTCTGTATGCTATGAAGCATCCTCCCTCACTTGCTATTTCTCCAAACTCAGTATTTCCATTCTTAAATACTATTTTTTATGTATTTGTTGCAGCATCTGGGTCCTGACTTGTTTTTAGCTGTTACTATATGAATGCTCTGCCTGTCCTTCATCCTTTGAATTTGACTGTTTTGGTTTATAATGGCATACGTCAATTCCACTCTGCACATCATCCTGTTCTTGTTCTTTCTTGTAAAACACGAGAATAACCAAATAAATTGAAATACTTTCCTGACTGAAAAGTTCAAACTCGTGACTTGCTCTCTGTGTCCTCGTCCAGGCGGTGAACCGGCAGATCGGCCTCGAGCAGCAGCTGCAGACACTGAAGGAGAACGAACAGGCGCTGCAATCCCTGCAGGAGTCTCTGAGCCAGCTGGACCACACACTCACCTCCTACCTCACCGACCGCATAGACGCCTTCCAGCTCCCGCAGGAGGCGCAGGTACAGGACACACGCACCGTACAAACACGTTCACACCCAGAGAAGTCACCAGATGGGATATGAGGCATCCGAGTCCTGTGGATTTTAATACATAGAGTGTTAACACCACTTTTTTTGAAGTTTTGGTTCGAGGCAAATAAATAGTTGCAGCAGATTGAAATGATCTATGTATCTCGTTATTGAAATATAAAATATTATCATTTGGTTGTTAACTAGATCTTGGATGAACCATTAGTGGGTTTGTCTTATGAAATCTCGAGAATCACTTATTCAAGTACTTATATTCACGTACAAACTGTAAGCAAATAATTCATATATAAATACACATGAAGCTGTAGATGCTACATGATTTCCACTTTTCCTCCAGACCATCGGGGCGGAGATCGCAGCCCACGAGGTAACAGTAGAGGAGATGAGAAGGAGGAACGTGTCCAACCTGCCTCCCCCCAGCACTGATGGCAAGGCTGCCCGTGGTGGGACCATGCTGGATCATCTTCAGGTAACACTGACTCCTACTGGAGAACAGCAGAAACTACAGAAACTGATGTCAGACTTTCTTGTCCCCTACTGACGCCACCCATACATCATCATAACTTAAATAATGACCTACTCCCATTAACTTGACATGTGCCAAAGTCATTTTACTGTCTGGAACTCACACACTGCTACTGTTTGTCATTTATAAATTGTTCACATGCAGGACAAATACAAAATCCTGGCACTAGGTTATAAGATTGATGCAGCTGTTTATCATCCAGGTTGTGTACCAGTTGTATAGATTTAATAACACTTCCTTTCTCTCTCTGCAGAGGAAGCTGAGGGAGATCTCCACCAAGTACCAGCTGTTCCAGAAGCCTGCTAACTTTGAACAGCGCATGCTGGACTGCAGGAGGGTCCTGGAGGGGGCCAAGGCTGAGCTGCACATCCTTGATGTCAAGGAAGTGGAGCCAGAAAAGATCCAGTCCCACCTCAGTGGTTGCATGGTGAGAACCAGACCCCTCTCATTCTGTATTTTACACCGACCGGTCTAATATATCCCTGAGACACAAACCGTCTTTTTGCTGTGTAGAAATTATACAAACTGCTGAGTGAAGTGAAGCTGGAGGTGGAGACGGTGATAAAAACCGGTCGCCAGATTGTGCAGAAGCAGCAGACTGAGAACCCCAAGGCCATGGACGAACAGCTCACTGCTCTCAAACTGCTCTACAATGACCTGGGGGCTCAGGTGATTTATTCTTTTTGAAAATCGAAATCAAATATATTCTAATTTGTCTATAAAAATGCAGCTCGTGTTGGATTGCACTTTCAGTATTCACATTCAATCTCTGAGGCCAGTATTCATTCCTTGTTTTCAGGTGACGGAGGGGAAGCAGGACCTGGAGAAGGCTTTGTCTCTGTCGCAGAAGTTCCAGAATGAGAGCGCCGCCCTGCAGGAGTGGCTGAGCACACACGAGGCTCAGCTCCAGCAGAAGAACAGCTGTGGAGACATGCCTGCCGACATCGATGCTGAGATTGCATGGGCTAATGTGAGCAGCTGCACTCAGCCTTGTATTATCAAGTATCTCCTCAGCAGGAGGAAAGAAGTGTTTCTGTCTGAGGCCAGTAGGTGGAGCAGAGGGACTGTTGGATATTCAGAGAACACCAATCTTTCTCTTTTTAAAACTGGAAATTACATTTGCCGGAAAGTGTTATAAAGCCATATTCATCCTTGCAATGGAAAAAAAATATATACATAAATCTCCTCTCCTCTCCTTTCGTTCCTTTCCTCTTGTCTCCCTTTAGTTCCTCTTGTCTCGTCTCGTCTCGTCTCGTCTCTTCTTGTCTCTTCTCTTCTCCTCTCGTTCCTTCCTTTTGTCTCGTCTCATCCTTTCTTCTCCTCTTGTCTCCTCTACTCTTCTCTCTTCTTGTTTCCTCTCGTCTTGTCTCTTCTCTCCTTGTCTGTTCTCGTTCCTCTCATCTCCTCTCCTCTCGTGTCCTCTCCTCTCCTCCTCTGAACACAATTCCTTAAAGGACTGAAAAATGTATTCGATCCCACACAATGAAGCCAGACCTTTTCGACCCCTTCCCCCAAAAGATTCGGAAACAAGATTAAAACTGAAACTTTATACATTTTCAAGGAGTCACAGGTTCACACCGAGTCAACAACAGCTCCAGAGTGCATGTTAGTGTGCATGTTTCCTCAAATGCCCTTCTTGTGTATATGATGTGTATATGAATGAATACACACAAACTTATATTCAATTGAATATATTTGTATTTTTGTTCGTTCTAGGTTGTGTATCACAGCGGACAAATATTCAGCTTTATTTTACATTTCATTTTGTGTGTCTGTCATCTTAGCTGGCAGTATATTATTAAAACCTGGATGCTCATCATATGAACTTGTGTTGTATGTGCGTGTTGCTCTACCAGGGCCTTCTGAAGGAGTCCGAGCGGCGTAAGGCAGAGCTGTCCAGTCTGACGGAGACCAGTGCCGGGCTGCAGACTCTGGTAGAGGGCAGCGAGGCGCAGCTCGAGGACAAGCTCTTTGCCCTCAATGAATCCTGGGGCCACGTACGCACCTGGACGGAGGACTGGCTCAGCACTGTGCTGGTGAGAGCAAATATTTTGTACAGCGAAGCTTATTAAATAAAAAGCTGCCGTTCTATGCTCCTCTTTTTCTGTTTATCTGAGCAAGTAGATTCTGCTTTAAGTAAACAAAAATATAAAACGAGACAAAGAAATTCTCCTTTGTGTAATTATATGCTGCAGGAAGTCCTGTAAAGTTTATGGAAAACTCACATAATCAATAAAATGTCCTAGTTTTAGAGAAAATTGGGAAAACACAGATCAACCTTTTTACAATTACAGAAGTTTTTTCTTCTCTGAATGAAAACGCTGAACCTTTGTTTTCCTTCTGTTTGCGCAGAGTCATCAGAACGAGGTGGAAATCTTTGACGAGAACGTGGCTCACATCAGCACGTGGCTCTATCAGACCCAGATCCACCTGGACGAGGCCGAGCGGCTCGCACCGAAGGAGAGGGAGATAGTGGTGCAGGTAACGGAGTAAAGGCAAAGTCCTCGCTCGAAAATGTTCATTATGGACAATTGCTAGTTTTGCTTGTAGTAATTTCTAAATTGTTATTTCATACTATTTTTCATCTACTTAACAGTCAGAAGAATAAGAATAAGTAAGAATTGGCTCAGCTTATACCATGACAAGCTTAGAAGTATATAACTTCTTTATGGAAATCACTGCCTCTGGCAAAGAAATGCATCCTGCCAAAATCCACCGACGGATATCGGCCCTGCTTCTGGGAGAATTTAATGTTTTCTCACATGAAAGGATTTGTGTGGTAATGATCAATCATTTCTGAATGCACCATTTAGAATTTTCTCTGTCGCAGCAGGAACTTTTTATGCTTGGTTAAGATTATTTAGACCTTATCGAGATGTTTTAGTGTGGTTGTCGTAACCTAATGGAATAAAAGAGAGTGAGAGATACTCATGTTAGAGACAAGAGAGAGACAACTGAAGGTCTCCGTTAAATATCAGCCGGTGCCTGGGCCTGTTGACCTTGATCAGTACGTACTGTCCTACGCTTGCTGGTCTGACCCAAGGCTGCTCTGCCATCTGGTCTAAGAGAGAATGACTTGTAACGAAAACTGACAAAGAGCTGACCAGCAGTGATCTGTGCTGTGTCCTCAGAGCACGCTGGAGGAGCTGGAGGACGTCAGTCTGCGTGTGGACAACGTGAGGGAGCAGGCGATCATCCTGATGACCAGCAGGGGGCCCGCCTGTCGCGACGTGGTGGAGCCGAAACTTGCGGAGCTCAACTGCAACTTTGACAAAGTCTCTCAGCACATCAAAACAGCCAAGGTACAAAAGCACCGATTGTTTGCAGACAAGGATTCATTATCATCTGAACTAGTGCAAAGCTCAGCGTGGGATTCGGTGTTGGTGTGCACACAAAAGGTTGAACTGTCAAAGAGAAATCCGTCGGTTCAATCGGTGCATTTATTCCATTTCTTTTTGCCTCCAGATGATGACCAGCTTGGAGTCGGGAGGTGTGGAGATTACCCAGCAGGCACCTCAGCAGGTACAGTTAAATCATATAAGGTCAATTAATTTGTATTTTTAAGGATAACGACTTGAATACTTTCTGATTTAAGAAGGGAACATATTTATTTTTATCCAAACTACAGTTGGGTACAAAAGTATGACACCCCAACAGCTACGACAAGCTCTCAAAAACAATATACTGCAAGCCTCTGTTTGGAAGGGGTGCAGTGGTTTGGATCAGATTAGTCATGGATCGCTTTTTTTTTTTCAGATCAGCAAAATATAAGTTTGCTTTCAATTTATTATGAACTTAAAGAGCAATTATAAAAATCTGAAGTTCACATGCAGTCTGAATCACAGGGGTTGCTTTGTACAGATCACATATTATAAATGATACCCTGCTCATTGTTTTCTTGTAACAAGCAGTCAGATAATTACATTTCTCTAACTGGCTCTGACCGAGTTGTCTGTGGTGTGCTTTTCGCTCTTCCTCATCAGGTCCGTCACAACCAGGAGGTCCGAGCAGAGAGTCAGAGTCGGGCTCATCCTGCTGAGCCTCAGGTCTCCACTGAGGTGAAGGACCTTCAGGTGGAGCTTCAGGACACCCTGAGGGCTTTGCAGCAGCAGGGACAACAACAACAACAACAGGACCCAGTAAACATCCTGGATGATGACAAGGTAAACAAGGTCACCCTTCAATTTCCTTTGGTTTCATGATGATGATTATGAGATAAATGAGCAGCAAGTTGCAATTGCTTTATTATAATTGAGCTGTAAATACTGTAGAATAGTGTGAAGGGGAATTGGCACTTTGTCTATTTTATGGTCGAATGTCTCCATGAAGGTTTTTGCCATCTCTTGCATATTCAGGAGAAATTTAAAAAACACCCTCACACTGAGAAAAATGTCCCAGGTTTCCTGTTATTCTCTCTCTGTCTCTTTAAACCTGAAGTTTTATGAAAAGTTCCATAAAGAATATGGCACGAAACCGGCTACAATATATGTATAAAGCTGCCGCCTGATAAAAACAAGCTTTGATTGGGCATTTCAAGGCTTAACAAGTCCGGAATTCAATCTCTGTTATCAAGGTTTATGACGTGAAAAACACACCCGCTGAACAAATCCCACCAATCCACAGCAAGGTCAGTGTTCCAGTCGGGAAGCTGTTATTGCATTTTAAACTGAGAAGTGTCTGCAGCGTCTCCACTCCGAGCAACTTGTTTATTGTTTAGCAAAGGAGCAACTTGCAGGTAAAGTCAGTAACCGGCGTGTAAGTCAGTCTTTTTTAGTTTCCCACTGATGGAATGTGAGGCAGATAAGATATTCTGAAATTTACTGACTTCCTGCTATGAAAAATTGATTTTTGAATTGCATTTAACCTTTGACATTCTCCCTCTACTCCAGATGGATGAGGAGAAAGCCGGCGTGGAGGAGCTGCTGAGGAGAGGAGAGGAGCTGCTGCAGCAAACTTCAGACGAGAGCCAGAGGGAGGAGCTGAGACTCCTGCTGTTCGGGCTTCAGAGCCAATACACTGCTCACAGGGTGAGACGAGCAGAAAAAAGTTGTGTCTTCATTAAGCAGGGCTCATTACCTAAGCAAACCAAGCTCTCTGTCATATTATATTTTCCCTCAGTGCACTCATGCAGCCGGGCTTAACTTGTGTTAATGTGTCCGTCCGCTTCAGGAGCTGACGGTGCTGCGGATCAGGCAGGTGGAAGACTCTGTGGACTCGTCGACTTCTCACACCTTCACAGAGCAAACGAAAGAGGTTTCAGCAGAGGTGGGGGGTGCACACATGCATTTAGTGGTACACTCTAACAAGGAAGTCATTTAATTCCAGTGTCCTTCGCTGCATATGCCTCATCGGATTGATGGTAGTGTCTCCTTATTATGAGCTGTTTTCAGGACACTGGGAAAATGTCCAGGAAGTTGGGCCTTTTAAATTTTAACAACACAGCTGCGCGGGTCAGACGCGTTCACAACAACACAATCACATGTTTTTGTTTACGACACATTGACTATGGCGTTGCTGTCTTTCCTAGTTGGTGTTGTCTAGACATTTGTATTCTTTCATATTTCTTTCACTGTGAACCTTCCCAACATGTTCCTACAGTATTCTCACATGGGTTCACTCTGACAGTTGACATCACCGTCCCAGAATATGTCAGGACATCAGTGCATGTCTGAAAGCATGTGTGACTTTCTGTGTTACCACAAGATTTGTTTAATTCATGATTTTTCTCCTGCTTCTGTGATGCAGGAGATGTCTGCACCGGAGCGTAGCACCGCCTCCTTGCTGAGTCCCTCCGACTACCTGCTGGACATCAACAAGTTGCTGCTCACCATGGCAGACAACGAGTTGCTTCTGAATTCGTCTGAGCTCAGCGGGGGGCGCTATGAAGACTTCTCCAGCCAGGAGGACATGCTGAAGGTCAGTGAATCATGAAAAACACAAAACGGAAAATCAGGAAAGTTAAAAAATGTGGTTTGCAACTGAAATAGAGGAAACGATTTTAAATGAGTGAAAAATATATAACGCAGATAAGACTGTGGGCCGAACATCTCCTTTCCTCAGAAGCTATCCGTTAAATATATGTACATGCCAGAACTTCCACAATTTGACATGTTTTTGACGTCACTGTTTTTCTGAACGCTTCATTTCTCTTTTCACAGAACATCAAAGTGAATCTGGATCATCTGGGCGAGCAGGTTACAGGAATCCACGAGCGCCAGCCTGATGTCATGCGGGACGCTTCGCCTGCTCAGGTCTCTCAGATCGGAGACGCGCTCACGCAGCTCAACGCAGAGTGGGACCGCCTCAACCGCATGTACAACCATCGCAAGGGGTGCGTGCAACAAACTCATATACAATCGTATAAACACTCGTCAGTTAAAAAGCATGATGACGGCTGGTGTAAGACACCTTTGGTCTTTAGTTTGTATTGTTGTTAGCTGTAAAGTTTGTTGAGCTCAAGTCCTTGATTAAATTATAACTGGAAAATACACTTGTTTTCTTATAAAATATTCAATATGTGTGTCGACCTGTAAATACAGAATTGCTCCTCAGGTTAGATTAAGCTGTATTCACATATTCCCTCACTCACAAGCACATAAAACAAACACAGACACACTCAAGCTGTGTGACCTTGACTCCCATCAACATTGTTCCTTGGGCACAAACAGTCTATATTTGCTCAGTACAGCATGAGCACATGCTAGGATAAACTGGTAAACTATCTGGTTGGTATCTGTAATCACAAATAACCTGGAGGCGTCATTAAAAATAGAGTAAAGGAGGTTTTGTAAAAATTACTCAAAACTCATTTCCTCACCCCGTCGCTCTGATCACATTTGTTCTGCTGTGAAAGAGGAAATAGTCGTCATTCAGACCCTCAGCGCGATAAAGATCTGGGATTTTCAGTGACACCCTCTTGGTCTTTCCTGATTTATTCGGTTGCGTCGCTGTGAACTTTGTAGTGTTGTCAGTGGTTCCTGATTAGAATGACATTTTCTGGCATTTGAATAGAGGTCAACGGTTTTATTTTCTCTTATCAGGATCTGTGGAATTTCTCCAGTGGGTGAACCTGGTTTTTATCATTACATTCCACAACTCATTGATACGAATTGGTTCTACCCATATTACACCCACTGGTATTAACTTAGCCTCAAAATGAACTCAGGTGTAAGTTAAACAACAGCGTGCTTTTATTTTTGTGTGTGTGTCCTTATTGTGCTGCAGGAGTTTTGACTGTGCCATAGAGGAGTGGGGGCAGTTCCACTGTGACATGAACGACCTGAGTCAGTGGCTGACTGACACTGAGGCGCTGCTGTCTGAGAGCGTCGGCCCTGACGGACAGCTCGACCTGAACTCTGCACGGAAACACCAAGAGGTGGGTGGAGGATGGGACGTTTCTGAACGATCGACACTGTGGTGGTTTAGGGGTTTGGTTTCTGATTGATGAGGATTTTCTTTTAAATTTGGTAAGTTTACAGTTCAAAAACACATCTATGTTTGCAGTAATACTTTAACTTAAGTATTCAGATATTTCGGTATTTGCTCTGATGGTAAAGAAACACTCAGTCAAATACAGAGTCACAATATTGGCAACTGCGATCAACATAAATACCTTCCCAGTAATGTGTTTGAGGTATTATTTGCCGGATGGTTTGAAATGTTAGACAGGGAGACGGGAGATAATTGCATTTTGTTCCCCCAAAGACGGGTGCTTCACTGTACCTGATAAACACGCCACACATCCAACTGTTCATTATGCAGAGAGAGAATCTGGGAGAAGTGAGGAACTGAAGAGAAAGATGAGAAGGGCCATCTAATTTTGCTTTGTTTGATCATTTAAGCGGCACTTTCATTTCCAAGAGGGGAATTAAATTCTCTGAAGCTGCGGCATTATCGCTGACAGCCCCCCCTACCGCCATTAACACCTTTTTATCAGTGTGATTTGCGAAACCTCCTTCTGCCCGGCTCTTTTACATGACAACGCGACGAGGGATCAAGTGGATGGGGATTAGATGACTCAACCCTCAGCGGACGTTACAATCATTCACCCGACTTTTTAGGGCTGTCTTAGAAACGTAAACCTCTCCTGATTTAAAATAGAGATGGTTTCAGCTTATATCTTGATTTGGCACCAATCATGCCAGAGTGTTGATCAGAGATTTTCTGGGAGGGATGGACGTCATCAGGGGATTTGGCCCACAGTCACATTATGCTCTTATTGATCCCCTGTTCCTCGTTTTTTCCTCACTTTCTCCTTCCTTTATATTTCTGATTTTAATACATCTGTTCTTTCTTAGGATTTTATCTCTTTATTCTCTTTTATATACCTTTTAATTTATTTCTCTTTTGTTCACTTTTATTTTCTTTTGTGCCTTTAGTGTTTCCTCATTGGTATTTTCGGGAGCAGCTGGGCTTGCTTGTGTTTCTTGGGGACATGTTGCGTCTCGTCTGGGGGCGTTTTTGGGTCTAGCTGACTGGTGGGTAGTTGGGCTGGTAAAGAAGGACAAAGGTTAAATGTCTTGTACGTCCTAGAGTAGCACTTACAGACCACGCTATGGGCAAAAGGGAGGGGCATTGTTTTTATGTTAAGCACTTTCCATCACGTGCAATGTAAACAAAGTCTGCTTGATCGATCGATTGATTGATTGATTGATTGATCGATCGATCGATCGATTGATTGATTGATCGATCGATTGATTGATTGATATCTGTGTTCAGGAGCTGGAAGAAGGCGTGGTTAGTCACCAACCCGTCCTGGCTGTACTAACTCGCACCGGGGAGCAGATTATCGGGCAGCTGTCATCTCTTGATGGACCACTGCTCGAAGAGAAGCTGGACGGTCTCTGTCAGCGTTGGAGAGCCGTCAACCGCCAGGTCCTGGACAGACAGCGCCGGTAACGTATCCATGGAAACACACAGGAGGCAGTGTTTTGGATTGAAAACATTAGGAAGATAAAGTCAATTTGGATTCTGATGAGTGTGTAATACACACCGTTGCTGTGTCTTGATTATATAACGTGTTGGTCTTACAGGACAATGAAGTACAGCATAGCGCTCACTCTCCATCACTGTCAGACTTTGTTTCTTATCAGTGTTTGGCAGGTTAGCGTTATCAGTGCAGTGAATCCGCCTATGACAGTCATTTAAATGTAAATTTGAGGATTACACCTGCAACCTGCAGGAAATGAAGATCTTATCTGTGGTATACTGAGTCTGTGTGTGTGTGTGTGTGTGTGTGCGTGTGCGTGTGCGTGTACGTGCAGGCTCACTGGCGAGGACCCGGCCCTGTCAGACCTGGTGAGAAGACACAATGAGCTGGCTGTGTGGCTGGAGCGGGCGGAGAACGCCGTCAGCTCCCTGCCTGTCACAGCTACTGACGAGAGCTTCAAAGAACTCAAGGTACAGCGAAGCCCAGAGATTCATGGGAGCGTAGAGGTTATTATTCCGGAGCTGGTGGAGTCAGCTATTTTTATGGTCAGCTCTGACTGTGTTGGGTTTTACTTTGTTCTTTTTCCCCTATTTGTTTCCACAAGTTGTTTCCTAGTCACTCTTATCATAAGCAAAACCTGTCAAACTCACACAAATCAAACTTAATGCTCACATCGTCTGTTTTGAGCTGTGCAATTTTGCTGAAGCACATAAACTGGCTGTGTTTTCCGTCTTCTTTACAATGAACTGAACCTGACTTTGCACGACACACTGCAGAAAGTTCAGTGAACGACATTACATATGTAGCAAAGTTGAGCAACTGTTCCACTGCCGACCTGCACAGCAGTACTTCTTCATTTCTTCCTTTATTTCATTTTCAATATATCAATGATTCTCTATTAAATTAAGGGTCACTGCATCTTTCCCTGCAGGCCCTCGCTGAGGAAATGGATGCACACAATGAGCGTCTGGGTTGGTTGAACAAGCACGCGCCTCAGATCCTGGCCAGTCCAAGTGTGAGTCCCCAGAGCAGCGACCAGCATGTCAACAAACTGAGAGCCATCAACCTCAACTGGAGCAAAGTGAGACTTGTACCAGCAACTTAACACCAGCTTTTTATTCGTGTATCCCCTCCACCCTCTTGTCTCTCCTCCTCCTTACTTCCTGTACTAAATCTAATGCTACAGCCATACTACTGTCAACTCTGCTACAGATACACCTGGCATCCAAACTTTTAGTTTAAAGACACTAAAACAGAGAAGTTTGAAAAAGCTGCTGGCTCAGTTTTAGTTTGAAAACTCCAGGGCTGCGTATTAATCTGGATGTTTTCCCCTGCAGGTGACACATGAGTTGTTGGACAAAGTGGGGGAGGTGGAGGCCAACCTGCAAAGCCACACACAGTTCCAGGACAGGATGGACCGACTCACTGACTGGGTTGTCGTCACACACCAGACTATCATAACCAGAGGCCTAAACCCTGGGCAAGCACAGGTAAGATTGTGTGACGTCCAGAACTATCACAAGATGAAACACCTCAGGTTCAGTTACCTTGCACACAAGCAGTGTGTCTAAAACGAGCTTGTACGCATCACAGGCTCTGGAGGCCTCCATGAAGGACAGGAAGAAGGACCTGGAGGAACTGTTGGCTCATTCTATTGAGCTACAACGACGACAGCAGCTGCTGCCTCATGAAAAGGTCCCGGTTTCCACAGTAATATAATTTAATAAAGAACCACTTTTCATTGTAGCATATAATTAAACCATAATGTGTTTTGGGGAACTCAGTTTCACATAATTTATTAAAGTTTAATTGGATGTTTTATTAACATCGGGATACACTCTATTCTGTTGCTGTCATTCTGTAGTTAAATACACGTATGTGCTGCTCTTTGTGTGTGTGTGTGTGTGTGTGTGTGTGTGTGTACACAGACTAAGGTAGAGGAGCTAGCAGCTGATTGGAAAGCCCTGGATGGTCGAATAAGGGAATCTCTTCAGCCGCCCATCTCTCCATGGACACAACACCAACATGTCGTTCAGCACCAGCAGCTTGGTAAACATACAAGCATTTATTTCAATTCACGATGTCTCTCATTTCTGTATCATGACAGGGTTTCTACATCTAAAACATCTAAAAAGAGGAGAAATATAAAAATCTGAAGTTTTATATGTAAAATAGTATATTCAGTAGGTTTAGGCCGGTCTTAACTATGTCAACGTTCATTTAACTCTACTTCTGTCATGCTTTAAAATTCCTTTTTGGTTTTGAGAGCATGCATAGGTCTCAGGATGTTGTGGTTCTCTTGCAACGAAATAGAAACACATCATCAAAATCATCAAACCTATAAACATTTACCTGTATTAGGCATAACTGGTAGTATGAAAATACTTGTTGAAATGATAGATAAGAGGTGAGAAAACCCAGTGTTGTGTAACACTAAAACAAACCCTGGTGCCTAATTCATGGTGATTTACTGTGATGCCAATATCCTGTGAGAGCCATTTGGCAGCACCTCCTCTCCCAATCTTAACAGCTTTTATTGTTCATGGCATCGTTTCCTTTTAAAGAAGCTTTTTTATTTTATATCCGTCCCTTGCTTCAGTGTCTTCGGTCCCCTCGGCCGTGCAGATGGCCAGTCTGATGAGCGAGGACCCCCATCACCAAACCCCGCACACGCCGGAAACCGTGGCGCCCACCGACCTCAACGAGACGGCCACCGAACTAGCCGACTGGCTGCTCCTCATCACGCAGATGCTCAAGTCTAACATTGTCACTGTGGGAGACACGGAGGAGATCAGGACCACTATGGAACGTCTGCAGGTGAGAAGGGAGGAGAGAAGGTGGACTAGTTGAAGTTATGGTCATATCTACTTTGTGTGAATGTGTATGTGCGTAATCGTGTATTCTCCCCGGCAGGTGACGAAGAGTGACCTGGAGCAGCGTCACCCGCAGCTCGAGGACATCTTCACCCTGGCACAGAACATCAAAAACAAGACTTCCAACCTGGACGTTCGCACATCCATAACTGAGAAATGTATGTACAGGTTATGTAAAAGTTAGATATACAACAGCAAGGAAGTCATTTTTATACCAGTGCATTTTCCTACAGTCAAATGAAGTTGCATTTACGTCTGTGTCTGTAGTGGAGAAGGTACGCAGCCAGTGGGACAACACTCAGCACGGTGTTGAGGCTCGACTCCAGCAGCTGGACAACATGACTGCCCACAGTATCCAGTGGGAGGAGCAGAGGAAGGAGGTGAAGGGATTCATTGGGCACCATGAGGGACGTTTCCACAACCTCCTCCAGCCGTCCAGAGACCCCCTGACTAAACAGCTCGCTGAAAACAAGGTCAGGAAACCCCCTCTCTGTGTCCTTTTTGAGTCTGGAGCCTTGTCATTACAGATGTCGAGACATTTAACTCAGGGAATTTGTTTTCTCACTTTCCTAATGGAGAGAAAAATCTTAGACCAAACCAAACTTTACTTCATGAAGTATCGAGGTCATTTCTACATCCATACAAGTCTGCGAGAGGCGGGAATGAATAAATCACCTCTCTGCTGTGTCACTCTCAACCTTAATAACATTCCTACACCCACATCATCCATCATCTTAATTTGAGATGATGACTTGGCCGAGAGGAGAAGAAACAAAAGTCGGCCTCGGTCAGGAGGCGTGTGTGTGTGACGCGTTACAGAAACCAAACACTAGAGGGCAACTGAGTTCAACAGAATGCAGCTCATCAGCTTCAATCTACTCCTGGTTTATGTGTTCTTTTAATGATGAGTAATTGTCCATTTAAAAAAGGTGAAGTGTACCTTTTCGTTGGCAGAACATGTGCCTCAGGGTCATATTTGGAAGATTTATTTGTTATGTTGAATTTAGAATAATAATCAGGCCTTATTAATAACAGCTAAGTCTTATCTAACCTGCTTGATTAAGTGGAGGTTAAACAAACAATGTCAAATGGCAGAGCTGCAGAATTACTATTCTATTTGTGTGTTCAATCCCTGAAGTTAGATTTATTTATTGAGTTTAGAGAAATGTCATTAATGTCCTTTCATAGCAAATACCAAAAGCAGATGTGAGTGCAGGCTAATGAACTACTGCCACATAGTGACTCATAATGTTTAAGTCACATCTGTCACACTTCCAGTGTCATAATGATCCTAATGCGGCCGTGTTTATTGCTTCGCAGGCGCTTCTCCAGGACCTGGGACGGGGCCAGGGCACGGTAGCAGCCTTCAACGAGTTGTCCGGTCATCTTCTGCGGGAGTATTCCACCGACGACACCAGGCGAATCAAAGAGGTCACAGAGAAACACAACGCTGCCTGGAACAACCTCAACAACAGGTGCGCACACACACAAAGACACACACACACACACACACACACACACACACACACACTGGACAATGTAAAATAAAAAGGAATCAGAAAATTGTTTGCCAACTTAAAAAACAGCTTCAGTTGCAACAGTAGTTTGATCTATAATCTGTAAGTCATGTGTTTTCCCATGTGTCCTCACATTTTGGACTCATTATTGATTGGCAGGGCCAGTGACCGTTACGCTCAGCTGGACAGTGAACTGAAGGGTCTGCAGATGTCGCTCAGGGAACTGGAGTCCTTCCTCAAGTGGCTCCAGGAGGCGGAGACTACCGTTAACGTCCTGGCCGACGCCTCACAGAGGGAAGACCTGTCGCAGGACTCCGCCCACGGGAAGGAGCTGAAGCGACAACTGGAGGTAGGGCTGTACAATTTTTTTTTTTTTTCAGAGGAACTGTGACTCTGTTCAGAGGTGTTCCCCCATTATCTGTGTCATCCTTCATTAGTGCATCCTTCACCAACAAAACTGAGTTTTGTGTGTGTGTATGTGTGTGTGTGTGTGTGTGTGTGTGTGTGTGTGTGTGTGTGTGTGTGTGT